CCCCAAAACCCCAAAACCCCAAAACCCCAAAACCCCAAATCTATTAAATCTATAGAATAATAACAAAAATTGCGCGTAATGGAAGATCAGCGTTCGAAGAAGAGAGCAGATATGTTCATGGAGGTGACCATCAAGGATCCTATCCGCAAGGCCGAAGCCTTTATGGTATCTCTACGTAAATAAGCGCCACCAGGAACGGTCCTTTAAGAAGAGAGGAATTTGGAAAATTTATGAGAAAACTAGTGGTGGACATGCCCAGTTCTTTAGTTTCTCTGAAGTCAAGAACAAGCCTGAATATACTAAGTACCAGATTCAAGAAAATGAAATTGAGGAATTCCATGACGATGCGAATCATGCTGCCTCAAGAGCAGAAATGGGCGACAAAACTAAAGTAAATGGAGCTTTTATAGACCTTTTCAGGGTAGTTGATGGGGCTAAACTCGAAGAGGAACAAGACCAACGTGACTGCCTTTGTATGCTGCTGAGAGTCCTCTGCGTGCTTAACATCAGTATAAGACATTTGAAGCCACAAGATGTGGATGTGCATATACCAGAAATTATCGGGTATATTGAGAAGTTCAATACATTTCCTGGACATCTCAAACAAGTTTTAGGTATCCTTCTGGCGATCTCAGCTTTCGACGTAATTTGCAAGGACTTCTTCCATGAAAAATATAATTTTCTGTCAATGATGAAAGACTTCTTTGCTGAGCCTAGGGAACCAGAGACCAGCATCATTGCTCATATGTTACTGGGCAATCTCATTTGAGAAAATAAAGAGATGAGGGATACTCTTCTTAGAGAGCAGTTTCTTGACCATTTGTACTTTATGTACTCTGAAGAAAACTTATCAGACTCAGATCTTGATTGCATGTCCTACATCGTCAGATGCTACTTTAGTCATGAGGTTACTAGCAGTGAGTTCTATCAGTATTTCGATAAACTTTTGCCAGTATTTGATGGACTCCTACATAGCTACGAAAATGACTGTATAGAGAATATTTTGAGATCAAGATGAATCTTAATGCAGCATCTTGACCCAACTTCAGGCTTCTATCAAGATTTGTGATCTCATGAGGTGTTGAAGAAAATCCTTGAGATTTTCAAGAAGACACAGACCTCTACGAAGACATGCTTGGAGTATTTTGCTAAAGCTTGTCGAGGTGGTGATCATATTATCGAAACGCTTATAGACCTTGATATCTGAGACTCTCTTGCTGATGTTCCTTTGTACGGCAAAGATGATGCTGAGAGTGCATTTCTCAATTGCATATTCGAACTCTCTCAGACAACTCCTAAAAATATGGCTAGTCTTTGTGATGCAGAAGTCTTTACAAACGTGTGTGACTATTTAAAATCTGTCGAGATTCAGAAGCAGCTAAAGGCACTGAGAATATTACTTTTGGCCAGTACCAAGCTAGATACTTTGTCCAATAACGATCTGTTCCATGATTGAAATCAGTACTTGCTGCAGGTCCTTGATTTTAATGGGAGTGATCCCTCAGCAGTTGGGTTAACACTACAACTTCTTTTAGCATTACTTGACAATAGCTCAGATAATCTTAGCGACTCAAGAAGTCAAACGCGCCAACGTCAATTAAGTGAGGCTGAAGAAAAGTTTGATGAGAATGGCGGAATTACCATCCTTGAGGACCTCCTCAACAGCGTGTCCCCTGATGACCAAGATATCATCGATAAGATCCTGGATAGATACTTTGTAGAAGGAATAGAGATTGAGGAACCACACACAGATGAAGTTTCCCATGAAAGAAGTATCAGGATCTCCAATGAAGTCTAGCCATATTTTTGATTGATCCTCACTCAGGAATTATTTTATAAAGGAAGGTTCCAATTTCAGTCTCTCACTGGCATCCTGGGGTTTTGGGGTTTTGGGGTTTTGGGG